TTCGAAAGCACGTAAAAATGCAAGTAGAAAAATAGGGACCACTTTGGTGGGAAGGTAACAGCGGGTCCGTGCACCTTTGGCATTTAGCCATGCCAGCCACATGACCACAGAGACGTCTTTGGACAGCGCTGGCTCTTCGGCTTTGAAACGAAGATGGGCACCGCCCTCTAGAGTCGGGAACGACTAGCACATATGTGCGAGGGGAACCTTTACCTATATATCTGTAAACTTGGTCACAACTCTGCAATGACAGACTCTCTCCTGCACAGCCTTTGAGCAAGTGCCAAGTGGTATCCTCCAATCATCCACTCTACGTGAACAATAATAGTGTATTATTATTTACGCAGTTAAATTTATGTATTCTTTAAATTAAAGCTGCTGAGACTCTGGAAAGAGTGCAGAGAAGAGCAACAACGATGATTAGGGAATTGGAGGCTAAAACATATGAAGATATGGTTGTAAGAATTGAGTATGTCTAGCCTAGTGAAAAGAAGGACTAAGAGAAACATGATAATAGTGTTCCAATATTTAAGGGGCTGCCACAAAGAAAAGAACCTTCTCCAACACAACTGAAGGCAAGTCAAGAAGCAATGGGTGGAAACTAATAAGGAGAAAAGCAACCTAGAATTAAGAAGTTTCCTCACAGTAAGTAAGTAAGTAAGTAAGTAAGTAAGTAAGTAAGTAAGTAAGTAAATGAAAACAATAATCAGTAGAACAACTTGCCTTCAGAAGTTATGGGTGGTTCAACACTGGAGGTTTTTAGGAAGAAATTGGACAAACACTTGTCTGAAATAGTATACGGTTTTTGCTTGAGCAGGGGGTTGGACTAGAAGACCTCCAGGGTCCCTTCCAACTCCGTTATTCTATTCTATAGTAATACATCGGCTGAAATTTATCTTCTTTCTTTTAGATTTGAGATGTTCTGAGGAAAAGGAACACCTGACTCTTGTTATTCAATTATTCATTATACCCACCTTCTCCCACAGAGTCTGGTGTGCTCATCAATACCAGTCCATACCAGTTAAAAAACACACAACATATTAAGAGCTGCAGACACAGCCTTCCTTCCTTTCCATCCTCAGATTGGCAGCAAACATTAAGGGGTGTCCCCAGGTGGCAGAACTAGCAAGGGGAAGGATTCCCCTGATGAAGCTCCAGACATGTGCTATCAAGTGGGATTCCCAATGTTGTGAAGTCCTGACTCACCTTAAGACAATTTCATTCATTCTTGGAAGAGGCGTTTTTTCCAGCCCATTTGTCTGTTCTACAGTAGCATTTTCTCCTCGTGGTTATTCTCACCCGGAACGTTTCTCCCTTACGTTTGTCAAGGATGTGCCCTATTGAATTGCCACCTTTCAAAAATAATTTATTTGAACCAGGCACCAATTTGCACTGCAATCTGCATTTCGTGATAGCATCTTCCTTGCCCGCTCCCTTCCTCCATCAAGGGTCCAGTTAGAAGCCCCTGATACTTTCTGATTAGAAATACAGACGGCTGTGTTCTCCCCGCCGCCACCTGTCCTTCATTCATACCCCGCTGTTTTCATTCAACAAGCTTGTTCTACAAAGCAGGGATCGCTGAAAGTGAAACGTGGCTGACTGTGTCTAAGGAAAAGTCCCTTCTCTTCCCCCCACGTCTGCATTTCAGAAACCTCTCCCTCCATGAATGAAGTGGGAATCTTTGTTTTCGCCCTGTGGTTGGTGAGACTTGATAAGACCTGGGACAGCCGTCCCCTTATCGAAGCAGGGGAAGGGGCTTTTTATTTGTGGAGTTCCTGGCACTGATAACTAGATATTCTCGCCTCTGATTGATGGAGCCCTCTGACTCCCTTATTGTAGCAGGCAACTTTAGATATGCCTGCAGCCCTGGTGAGATAGTGGGGAACACTCCGGCAATCACCCATCAAACACTCTGTTGATACCCAACACTATCCAGTTTTCTAAACACAGCTTTTATTTTTATGGTCCCCTTCCCTTCCCCCCACAACACATGCATCTTTCTGCACACAAACCCACCACACTTTGCTCTGAAAAAGAATGGAGGGGAAAAACCTGACTATCTTTGCTACACACACCGTTTTCCCTTCTTAAATCTGCACTGCCAGCTCCTGATCTGAACATGGCTATGCTCCAAAGTTCTGCAGAGTGGAAACCCAGCACATCTGTTCCAGTCTAGGGTCGATGGGTTGCGCCTGCAACTATGAAAGTGCCCTAGGTACATTAAAACAACTTATTTATCAGAATTGGAGGGAACCTTGGTAGTCTTCTTGTCCAGCAGGAAACCTTTTTTTTTTTTTGAAAAAAATAATTTTTATTAAACATTTTTTCTTATATACAACATCATTTCCATTCATTACAACACTTTCGTGATGGTGTACATGCTTTTAAATCTAAACTATCTATAAGGTATACATACTTTTACATAAATCTTAACTATCTATACACTTGTTTATATATCTTAATCTATCTTTGTCCACTATAACTTTTACCTTATTATCTTATTGTCGTCTTCTCTATTCAACTCTATATTTATTATTTAGCCAATCATACAGTACATTCCACATCAAATAGTAATCCTTTTCCTCTCTTTCCTTTATCTCCGTGGTCAATTTATCCATCTTGGCACATTCTAGTATTTTTCTTATCACATTTTCCTCTGGTGGCATACTATCATTTTTCCAATTCTGTGCGTAAGTTATTCTTGCTACCGTTAATAAATATAGCATTAAATATTCTTATAACATTTCAGACAAATAGTTGTCCAATCTCTTCTTAAAAACCTCCATTTATCCCCAAAATGCCTGTGATTTTTTCACTACTAGAGCTGGGAAGTATATTGTGCCTATTTCTGGTTGTAGTGGGCATTAGCTGTTTTCCTTCCAAATTCTGGAAGCCGTGAGGATTTTCATTCTCTGTTTTTCCCCATGTTATTCAGTACGTATCTCCATAGATGCAACTTCAGGTCCATTAACAGGAAAACCATCCCTGTTGCACTATATGGCACTGAATGCTGGGCAGCATCAACAGGGACCGAAAGCTATCTCCATGCCAGGGAAATACGAAGGCTTCATTGGATATTGGGCATCTCCTTTCTTGACCACATCACAAATGACACATTTGACAACATTTTGGTGTGGCACCAATGACAGAGAAGATGAGAGAAGGCTGACTCCTCTGGTATGGACAGAGACCAGAGAGAAGCACCTTCCACCGTGGCCAAGGCTGCCTCCCAACTAGAAATCAATGGCCGGTGACCTCACGGGCACCCAAAACAGAGATGGCAAGACACCATCAACAAAGATAGGCAAGCCACAGGCCTGCACCCTGGAGATGCAGCTGACCATGCAAAATGGCATTCAGTGATCTGAAAAGCAGACCCTGCACATGTGGGAATACTCTAGGAAGAAGAAGAATTATGGGTAACATATAGGATAATATCTTAGTGTCATATTAGGATCTCAGTTTTACAGTTTGTAGAGAGATAATGAATTTCTTCTGCCATTTCTACCTCTATCTTTTATTCACCCCCAAATTTGCTTCAGAACATTGGGGTTCCTCAAAATCAAGTTTGGGATACAAAGACAATGTCAGGGCTCCGGCATCCACCCCCATTTAAATCATGAGTCTCTAGCCACATCTCTCAGAGTTTAAAGAAGATTTATTAGGAATGAACATGCCAGTGCTACCTGGGTGTAGCCGACTCAGGGACACATCATTCATTTCACCCTTGACCCTGGTCTTCCCCCACCCCCTGGATGTATATTCTCCAATGGGACACATCCATAGTCAAAAGCTCATGCTCTCCAGTAATAATATTGTGTGCCAGAAGCTTCGGCTGCCTAGGAATTATCTATGAAAGCATTTAAGGAATGCACTGCTTCCCCATTCCCTTTCTGCTGGCAACTCTAAAAGACCAGAGAAATATTTTTGAGTTGACAGATAAAGTAAATATGATGTGGGATGTAAGACATTCTCTCCCTCGATTAAACATTTTGGAAGTTAAAGTACTCTTTAAATACAGCAGCATATGATAAATGTTGTTATTGTACCCTGAACAAATCATGGGTAGATGGGCATGCAAAATTGCTTTTTATTTATCCCAGTCATTCATTTCCTCTTAGAAAGCTTACATGCAGTATATAGAATCAAGTCAACAAAAAAATTGTATTCCTTTGTGACAATTGTTCAAAATACATTCATATCCAAAGGCAAGCACTCTGAATTCTGACACAATTCAATCCCTAGTTTTAATAATATGTCACACCAGCTGCATGGATCAGGAAGACATTAATCTGTTTAAATATCTGTAATCACATTGCCTCCAAATACTTTCGTTCTTTCCCTTCTTTTGTCTTTTCCCTTTATATTTCAAGTAAATAAGCTTTGTTTGTT